TTTAAAATTTTCCATAATCGATGGCAAGGTAATGTATTTTTTTTTTTTTTTATTAGCTTTCAGTTTAACTATTAGGTACAGCTCAACAATTATTTGAAAGACATAACAAGATACAGTTCAATAGAATACAATATTAAAAAGTATAGATAAATGATAACAATGAAATAAAAAGTATTAAACAGTAAAGAAAATCATATTATGAAACCAGCCTCCAAAATAAAATTAATAATTATATTTGTTACCATTTCCGAATTGGTGTTGAGGATGGAGGAAAGATTGAGAAGAACATTGATGGAGTTAAGATAATAAAATAAAATAGCGCGCTTCACTTGCAAAGAAGAGAAATCAAAAAGAAGATGAGAGAGATCGCAGATACTTTCGTTGGGGTGTAGTGGGGAGTTATTTAGACCTAATTTGTACGAGTGAGCAGGTAGTAAAGTATGACCAGAACATAGGYGATTGAATTTTATGATACTAGATCTTGGTAAATTGAGGTTGTTAAACCATGTTTTGTTAAGAAMATTTGGTACGATGTTTTTGTATCTGGTAGCAAACTCAGCTGGGAGATTTGACCAGTATGTGGGCCAGAGGTTAGATATATGACACCGTAAAATTGGAATAAAATCAGTACGTGGGAGTTGGGTAAGAGCATGGCATATTAAATTGGACGTTGATTTCACCAGATTATCGGCGACTTCGTTTCCGTGTATACCGATATGGCTTGGAACCCAAAGAAATTGTATGGTATAATTGGCTTGATGGAGTTTTAGGATGATTGATTTAATGATGAGGATTAGAGAAGACAGATGAGAGTCAAAAGGATTAGACATTAGTGCTTGTAAAAAGGTAATGTTTTTATATAAGTAATACATCATCAATATAATTGTTGATAGGTAATTTATAAAAAAAAATGTATTTATGGTTTAAAATGCTATTTATTTTTAGATTTTAAACTCAATAACTGCAACCTCTAGTCAGAAATGTTATATATGTAAATCTACTGCAAAAGAAATGTATTTTTATTTTTTGGCCCTTGGCATCTAAAAGGTTGCTGACCCCTGTATTAAGACATGGCAGGTAGAAATTATTCTATACATAGTTTATAATACAAATGTATAAATTAATTAATAAAGGTTAGATCGTTGGAACACAAAGAAATAGATATTTTAAAAACGGAAAAAGTATGTACAAGATCAATTTCGTTTAAAATTCGGTTGATTAGTCGATGTTGTGTTACAAGGTAAGGGTTTAATAATCCATAGTTATTGTTAAGTTTATATATAATATAATATATTATTWTCTTTAAGGAGCTGAAACAACTAACGATGGAAACAAAGCCCGCACATTTTTTAAAAATTTTGAAACTAGTGCTTCTATCACAAGAATTTACATTCGATTAATTTAACATTTCGCCAACATATTATATGCTATATAAAGTCATCATGAAATTAATTCAAAAACATTTAACTTGTATACTTTAGAAACAGCTAAACTTTATGTCAGCCTTTATCCCTGTTATTACACGCCCAGTATATACACCTTGTATATATATATATATATATTATACATTTATATATACATGTATATATACTTATTTTAAAAAGTTAAAATTTATATATAATATATGTATATTATATATATAAGCATTATCCATTGTCTATTAATTTTGACGCAACAACCTTTCACTTTGGAGTTTGGACCACTGTGCGGCGAGAACGTGACGTATCTGGAGTAAACTACGTATTAATACTACATTTTGGTTATCTTGACACACCTATCTCTTTAACAATGCTCCTAACTACATTATATATTATAATTATATACACTGAATACTTGTGATTCATCTTATGCTGAACAGCTGATTTTTGGCAATTAACTGTGGACATCAATTTGGAAACCAATATCTATACAGTGTTGAGTTACCTGTATATCTTAAATCGTGGTACTAAGTATCAATATAAAGTATGTTTTTTTATCTTGACATATTATGCACAATTGTACTTGTCTTATGCTGTATCACGACCCGTATTGATTCTATTATTAGACTTATATTGGCCTAGCAGCCGGTCCATTTGGACCTGAAGCCTGCCCAAAGCTACTTGAAAATCTAAGGTTGAGCGAATGCTACTCCTGCACCCCCTCCACTCCCTCCAAAAATATGACACCCTTGTCCCACAGTGTTTATTTAAAAATTAATGCTTATTGAATATTACAATGGTTAGTAAGGTGCCTATGTTTATTGGGAGACCAATGACTACAATAATAATACGTACTACAAATATTTAAATATTACGATTATTATATAGACATATAGTCCTAACATTTATAAATGCAGGCATCTAAAAATCTCTACTAAAAATCACGGCTATAGATACTGTGGTTGTACGACGATGACAATTTTTTGACCGTGCAATGTTCTTACCAAAAACCTCTAGACTGCTAGCGCTTTCAGCGGAACTTGTATTGTACCTAGTCAATCAACTCGGTTCACTTCACAATTCACTCGAATGAGTTGAATTACTAATCTCAATTCACAATTCTTAATTCTTTTAACGATTCTCACTTACCTATATTATAGTATATAGCTCCACCGAGGCACTAAATCATATTAGTAAACCCCAACGCTTCTTCCCACTTGTTCTTCATATCCTCATTTTGTGGTACTTTAAAAATAGTAACCTAACCTAACCTATGAATTTCTCGCACACAACAATAGTTTGGCATATTTATGTTTGAAAAAAAAAAATGCAATATGTTTTATTAAAATAAGAATTACACAATTAAAATATATACTACTCTATTACTATTAAATAGTAATTAATGATTATAAATAGTCCACTAAATAATAAATTCTCATTTATTTGCGGTAAACAATACAAGTTATCAATAAACAATAATTATTATTATACATCAGTTTTATTTGAAAAAACCCCAAGATTTGAAAAATAATATGACAACTTATGGTACACCACGAATTCCGCTAAAAGCGCTAGTAATCTAGAGGTTTTTGATAAGAACATTTGACGCCGTTTTCTTCTGCAACACGCTATATGCCGTCGCGCAACCATTCATATCTATAGCCGTGCTAAAAATTAATAGTTGACTGATAACTTATCAGTTACATATCAACTACCTACTACTTACATAATACTTAATTTCTTTAATTTAATTTAAAATTTAAATTAAACTTTTTTTCATTTCCTACCTACCTTTGTATCTACTTAAAACTATTTCATAATAAACTATGAAAAAAAAATTTTGCCCGTAATAAGTTTTGTAAAAAAAAACAATTGAAAGCCATATGGTATATTAAGAAAAAAAATCAATATTACGCAATTCAATGGAATAATATCTTAACTAATCTTAACCGGATTTTCTAGGATATTTGTTTATATATTAATAATGTCTTGAGTTTCATAATATCAAATCCTAAGTTTAGGAATGATATTTAATTAATAGGACCTCGCCGACAATATGCAGTCTCTAATTTATCTATTTATCTCTAAAGATATTGACGCTGCAAATAGGCTAAAATTGATTGTAGAGCAATAGATAGTATTGTAGCATTGTAGGTAAAACGGTTGCTAACTAATGACCCTTTGTAAKATGTATGTTGTTTTTTTAAACAAACATTAAATATTTTAATTAACCACCATATATTTTATAATTGTTTAAATCTTGATGTTTATAATTTTTTTTTTTTTTTAAACACATTTATACTAGTAATAAGGATAGGATTGTTGTCTCCATCTTACAAGTGCGTAGCATACCTAATTTACGCTCAGTAGATCATTTTTAGCTTAAAAAATAGTTGATCGAACTCGTATGGACCTTGACGGTACCTAAGAATATAATCTGTATTTTTGTATGGGTTTTTTTAGGATAATTCAGTTTTTGAGTGAGTATTTTCAATTTATGATTTAGTATATACGCAAAACTTGCTAAAAAACTGAATTATTATAAAAACCTAACATACAAACACAGATAATTTTCTTACCTTTTAATTTTATATGTGGTCAATTCACTTTAATTTTTAAACTAACGTAGCTGAACGTGATCTATTGAGCGTACAATTTGCTATGTTACACACTTGTAAGACTGGGAGACATCAAATGTCAATGTTACATCATATTAAAAAATTTATTTTGCAATTAGTTGGTACCTGTCTTTACACCTATAACATGTGTATGTATATTAATCATTTGAATTAGATTTTGGAAATTTATTTTAATATGAAGAAATATAAATCAAATTTTAGTACAAGTTTGCGTAATACTGTGTTACGAAAATGTCATAAATACTTTATATTATTTATATAGATATGGTTTTGTTCCTATTAAATACCATAAACTTTTATTTTCTAGTGTTTAATTTATAACAGAAATATATTGTTCAATCTAAATTTCAGCTTTTTAAATGTATATTGGGTAAATAGATACATGTATTAGAAGTTTGTATTGTCATTTGCCAGTAAGTATATCGCTCGATAATATCATCCTATGCATATATAATTCATCTTATTTTTTAAATTAATATCATCTAATGTAGTTGCACACCTTATATAACATTCATTGGGAAGAAACTTAATAATTATATTGAAGTTGGTGACCATAACGAAATAGGTAGGTATAGTAAAACATTAATAAACATACAGGCATCTTTCTCGTGAATATTATCCAACGCTTTTGCAATATGCCTAAGCTAGTGTAACTTAGTACCTCTGACCATATAATTTAATGAGTATAAATAATAAATAACAACCAATAACTATAATATCCACGGTTGAGAATAGGTACTGTGTGGTTTGTATCTATGTTAAAAATGCGACTAGACCAAACATCATATTCCTTCAAAATACGAGGTACCTATCTAGTTATAGTAAAAAAATACAAAGTTGACACAATATCAATATAAATATTGTGAGAAAAATAGGTAACCATAATATAATAAATAATATTATCATGGTTTTGTGCCTATTACATGTAAATAGAATTATTGTACACCATATAAGTAATTCGCCCGACGGACGACTGTCTCGCCAAACCAACCCCTGTTGGGAATCAGTAGTGGTGCGGCGAGTTGTGCGACATAATTGCGTTCCTGTGGGATCCAGTCTGTACCGATTGAAACGATGGCACGCACGTGTCAAGGCCGTGTCGGACGTTCTGCGGCGGCGACGGCGGCAGCGGCGGTGGCAGTGGCAAAGATGGTTGCGTCGTAAGTGCTGCTGTGGAGGCCTGTGGCGTGACTGCTGCGGATTGGTTTTGCGGATAAGGAGCGTCGTGGAGTTTGCGCAAGTGTTTCTTGAGATCAAAGTTCCGGCAAAACCCTTTGCCGCAGACGTGACACGTGAACGGCTTCTTTTCATTGTGCGTGTGCATGTGAAACGTCAGATTATACACCTATTCGGTATATTGGTACACACGCAAAAGACAAAACAATATTTTAAAACGTTACCAGGGGCAACCAATATTAGAGTACCGTTCCGAGACTCTTCGGGTAAAGGTCATGTGGTTGTGTGGAGGGTTGAATGAGATATGAAAGTAGCTCAGATTAAAAAATAATGACGTAAACATGTTATAGTCCTTATTAAAGTAAGTACCAATAGTTAGGTTCTACCAGTTAGAGGCTACATTTATTTTTCCATTTCCTCTGAACTCGTCCAATCTGCAAACGCTCCAACTCATTTTAATGGTTTCTAGTAATTAATCGACTGTCAAACGATATCCCCAATGTTTTTTTTTTTTGGAAAATTAATTTTTTCGTCATAAGATTTATATTGTAAATTGCAATTATAATATAATATGGCTTGTTAGATATAGATCACTTAAAGCGCACTTGATCTTTAATACCCATTTAATCTCATGTAAAACGCTAAAACCACTGAAAGCCATATGCGGCATTTTATTTATTATAAATAATTTATGAATACAAATAATAATAGTTATAATTTATATAATATTGTAATGAAGCGTTAAATGTTCCCAAACAAAAAAAATTCAACCAGACTGTTTCTAGTGATCAGTACAGTACTCTAACGAATAGATTTATAGGCTTTGGATATTTTTTATGATTCCACGCTATTTAGTCTGGTAAATTATATCCGGTGATAAATGATAATTAATTCGGTCCAAAAAGAACCTGTACCCAAAATATCCCGCTAAAAAAACATAAAATGAAATAAAAATATATAGAAATTATTATTATTTTATTTTATTGATTATTAAAAACGTCAAATAAAAAAAATAATAATCAGTTAATATATAAGTTATAAATTATTGTTTAAGGCATAATAATATAAAATTATAAAAGAAATATAGTTACATTCTATGGTATTCTAGAAATTTTTTCAAAAATTATATTTCTAATTTCCATATTACATTTTATATATTTTATTTACCGGACGTTTTTTGGCCGCATATTTTTTACACAGGTTCTTTTTGAACCAGACAAATGTCGTGGATCAATTGTCGACGGATATAATTTACCCGACCAAATGACGGATGTCAATTTTTATGGGTAATAATGTATTCATCTAATATATTAAGTTTACGCAAAAACTATAATAATATGATTTTTATACTTTTATCTATAGTAATATCACACATTGTCTATGCGTATTTTTAATTTTTATTGATATTTTAAGATTTTTAGGTAATTTTCTCCATTTAATGTTTATTCCAGTACTTTATTATGTAATATATATTTTAGAAAATATTTGTTGACAAATGTTAAGGAAAAATTATTTAATAAAATATATATTTTTAAACTTTATCCACAAAATATTTATATTGGACTTAAATTATTGAAAAATTTATATACCTCATTGGAGAAACCTGTTTTTGTGACATTTATATTTGCGAAACTACAAAAATAAATATTTTAACGTAACATACCTATAGATAGGTCGATTTTCCTTTAGGAATATTGTGAACTCACATGATAGTTAAAAATCATAAAAATCAATATAATAATGCATAATTTCTTAGCATTAATTCTCTTGATGATTAAATATATATTGTAGCCTTTAGGTATAGGTAATATAATACTATTATATTCTTTAATTAGTCCCGGTCAGGTGCATCTATTTATCTATGATAACCAGGGTTGGGATTTTATAGCATTTGCATATTTCTAAGAGAGGCTTAAAAAATAACAGAGTAAGCTTAAAATGTGTTTCATGATACAGAAAACTCAAATTAAAAATTGTATTATGCTATTTTTTTGTATATTTTATGATTTTAGATTCTGAGCGGAGCGAAGAATGTATTGATTGTACTATGATGTGTGATTTTTTTTCTATTTTTTTTTGTGTGTGTCTGTTATCACGTTTTGGGGCWGTAAAAGTGTTTCGATTTTCGATTTTAGTACCTCATTCGATCAGAAAGTGAATCTAGTTAATACTTTTGGGGGTCAAAAGTAAAAATTATATATTTTGTATAATAATTGGGATAAATAAACTAAAAATTAAGAAAAAACGGGAATTTTTACACACAATCAATTTTCGACAAAATCGATTTTGGTTTTTGATATAACTTTAAAAGAAATGGCCATAGTTACATTAAATTTTCACCCAATGTTTATATAAGTATATTCTATCCACCATGAAATTTAATTTACAAAAAATAGGCGTATACAATTTTCGATCATTATTAGTATTTTTAAAATTAATTTTGGTGAAAATTTATTTGTTGGGTAGAAAAGCTTGAAAATTTTTAATAATCTATAATATAACCTAGATAGATAAACCATCTCCACTCAGAATCGTTTTTCGTATACAATGATATAAAGATATAATATTAATGGATTCAAATTTTATTCCCACAGTAACTCACTTGTAACCTACTGTACAGCAGAGCAATAACCACTTTCCCGCTTTTAGTTTTTAGTGCTTTTTTTTGGACTTTTTAACTTTTTTTGATTTTTACCATTTTTGAACCAAAATTGGYCATATTTTATGAAATTATATTTTTGAAAACGTGTTTTTAGATATTTGTCAATCGAATTATTAATTAAATTGTAAATGTATAGTGTATAGATTAAGTAAATAAACTGATTAGGCTGATGCAACACCGTACAATTACAGTGATAATATGTAGGTATAATAAATGTATAATATAATATTATGATAATTTCGTATTAGGTACTTGGTTCTAATTCATATTAACTGCTGATCTTGTTGGTTTTTTTGTCAATTCCTATTGTAATTATTAATCGTCGACGAACGAATGCTGAATTTTTTGTGGTCAATCATAAGTGATTAAAAAATTATTAATTAATATATTTTCTTTTTTGCATATCTTGTTGTTTTTAATGCATATTTTTAACGCATATTTAGCGATATTTAAGGTAATTTTATAGCGCATAATTATAAATAAAGAACTATAAAATCCCAACCCTGATGATAACTACCGACATCATATACCTGATGGAAAGCTTTATGGCACACAGTGCACTTATACGCTTTTTCCACGCTGTGCGTTAACTTGTGATTCTTGTAGTTGCCTTTTTGGTGAAATCCTTTTCCACAATATTCGCACGTATACGGCTTGTACCCGGCGTGTATCCGCGTGTGTGTATTCAGCGTCGAGCTCCTGTTGAACGCTTTGCCACAAATGGCACACGTGTGGGGCTTTTCTTCGGTGTGTATGATCTTGTGGCGGCACAAAGTAGACGCTTGACGGAAGCCTTTACCGCATACCTGAATTACACGTAAAAATTTATAAAACATGATTATTAGATAAGTACTTAGCAGATTTAAGCTTGGTACAGSGTAATCACCCTGATTATTAGAACGTTAGACAGGAAATATAATTTACAAGTCTAGCGTAGAAGGCAGAACAAAACTTATCATGATTGAAACGTGTAAAATAAGTAGTGTTTAAATGTTTAAGAAATAACTAATTCCTTTAATTTCCTATACAATATTATGCCTTCATGCTGGTTCAGATAATATAATCACTCTAAATAGTATTATTAAATAAATATAACGTTGTGATAACTAATCACAGAAAGTATAGTGATGTCCTCATATTCTCCAACAGTCAGAATGGCATAAATATAGAAAGGGACATAATATAATTTATTGACAAATCGTCTCCGCTTAGAATCGTTTTTTATWMAGTGGTCTTTGAATTCAAATTTAACTCCATCCATTACAGTGACTAAATTGTAACCTACTGTATAGTAGGGTGGCATCAATCTTTTTAATTTTGACCTCTCAAAATAACAATTAAACTTCCAGAAAAGWTATTTAAGTAAGATTTTGAAGCATTTTTACTACCTTGTTAGGTGATGAGTGATGATATTAAGAAAAAAACACATATCATTGTAAAATTCATCATCTCAGAATCCAAAATAAAGGTTAGTATACTCGGTGAAGCACCCTATATATTCATATAATGTAATAAAAATAATTTATATTGAAAAATTATGTGTTGGTTAAATATTAAATGTATAATATGTATTTATGACTGACCAGTAAAAATAAATAACTTCAGTTATTTTGGCAGGTCTGATCGTTGAAAAAACTTGACTTATGTAATGTATACTTTTTAAAGTGGTATTAATAATACAATACCCAAAGGGCATGCGGAACTGATACCAGTACCTACTACCCCCTTTGTTTACGCACCTGTGACTAATGTATTGACATTGACTAAGAAATATAATGCCCGGTGGGATAACTAACAAGTTATAAAAAAATATATTGAACATTGATATAGCGATACTAATAAAATTAGCTGGTGCATATACCATATATTGGATAGTATATTTTCAAGTAGAATATTCTCAGTCGATATTATTTCTGTTTTTAGAAAATTATTTTATATTGTTATTTTTTCCTTAATAATAAACCAGAAACACTTAAAAGTAATCAAATATATTTCTACATGACTAACCACGTGGTACATTAGTACACGAATGTAAAAGTATATTAGATGGGTAATCCTCTCAAATACGCAATAAATTTAGGGTGCGCACAATAATATTTGATATCGGTATGTGTTCAATAAGTAAGTACTTACCTATAGGTACCGATTCATTTTTACCTTTTTATTTGTGTTTGTTTATCTGCAGTTAATGGAGGGGGAAATCAAAATATAAAACTGCATAATACATGGTACACTAACGTGAAGGAAAAAATTATAGAATATGATATATAGTTATTACTTATTAGTTTTATTGAAAAAAAAAATACATATTTGTCAAATGAAAATAGTTACACTCACTAAAATTTTTAAACTGAATTAGGTCATATCATGAGTTTTCTATGATTTCTCATGGATTTCATAATTTCACGATCATTAATGACGAAGTGTTTTATACTTTTGTTTATATTGGAAAATTATTGAAAAATACTTTGTGTATTGTGTTAGGAATGTCACACACACGAATATTATCAGAGTTCATCTCGGTGATGTGCATAAAAGTTATTTAGTTTATATTTTTTATGAACTTGAACTTTATTTTAAAAGTTCATTTGGCTTGAAAATACATTTTAAGTTAATTAATAATAATTCTAATAATACTGTAAGGTCAGAAAAACAAATTATAAATATCTACCATTAATAATTTAATAAAACCAGTAATATGGTGAAAATTGTATAGGAACTTATTTCATTGTTTAATTATTACTTGTTATTATTGAAAATTTCTATACAGGCACTGGCTACACAATAATTAACGCCGATTTGCAGCATTATGAACTAAAGTATTACTTTAATGGTATTATACATTAGTATTGCTTACTATATTAGTAAGCGTATATAAGTGCGATTTGTATCATAAAGATTATATATTATACATAAACATAATAGATACCTACTATGTACCTATGTGGTTCTATGTATTGGATTTTATTTTYGAATATGGTTGGTCATTCTATTAAAACCAAAAATATTGATACAAATCACTGTCGTGATTGTAATAGATACCAATATGAAAATGTATTATTTTCTAGATTTCTAGCTGAGTGAAGCAGATGAATGAATTGAAGTTATACTGTGTAATATGTTTTGTGTGTATGCCGTATCTCGTATGTGTATATTGCAAGTGGGTACTTAACAAAATATTTAGGAAAAAACATTTAAGGGAAACCCAAATTTCGAAAAAAAAAAACTATTTTCTTATATTATTGTTGTAATCATAGATACTTTAAATGGTTATTTAATCTTAATACTTGCATTTTTTATACGTGTTATAATTTTACTTAAAATTTGTATGAAATACAATAACGATTTTAATTATTTTGACGTAATTCAAAAATATTTTTCGTATGGCTTTRAAGCTTTAAACTAATATCCATAGGCGTAACTTGGCGGGGGCGAATGGGGGCAATTGCCCCCACAGCCTAAAATTGGTGGGGGCATTGCCCCCACAAACTGAACTATAATATTAGTTAATTTCAGGCTGTTCTGAGGCCTATAATAAATAATAATACCTAAAATGACGTATATAATAGCAGCTGGTATGTAAAGGTTCTTTGGCTACAAT